TGCCAAGAGCCCTTGGTTTAGAGCAGCCTGTGCTGGATGTAAGCAACACTCTGGAGCTCGAGAGGCCCTTCTAAACACTCGTGATCCACGGAGTAAACTGGCCTTGCTGGAGGATCAGATGGGGGGGTTTGAGTCGTGCTGAAGTGGCAGAGTCTGGTCTTGTAGCTCCCAGACCCTGTTAGTTGTCTCTGCAGAGCAGCTGGATGAGGCCAAGCTGCACCTGAAGGAGTTTTTTACCGGTGGAACAGGAGAATTTACCCTCCTCTCCAGCTCGGGAGAAGCTCCAAAGGCAGAAGAAGTTCAAGTGCTGCCACTTTGGCTTCCTGAGACGGGAATTCTCAGGGGGAAGCTCTGCTTTTGGGACAGGACTGGGATGTGACCGGGGGTGCACCTGGCAGGGGGATCGCTGGCAAACCCTTCCCACTGTTGGTGTGGGGCTGGGAAGGTGGAAACGCTGCCCAGGTGGGACGACTGGAAATCCCAAGGAAAGTCGGCCAGGGCCATTCCTGGTGGGTGTGTGGGGAGTAGGGAGAGTTTCCCCCTGGATGGAGGGGGGTGTGTGTGTGCAGGAATGGCTCGTGGCCCCCCAGCAGGGCCCCTCTGCTCCGTGCTGGTGCTGCTGGGAAGAGGCCGAGCCGGGAGATGCGCGGGAGCAGCCGGGGCCCTTCCTTCTCCCCGGGGAGCCCCGAGCCGTTCACAGCCGGATAAACTTTCATCTGCCTCGCAATTGCCGTGCTCACACGGCCCCTAATGCGGGAGCCAGACGGGATCTCTGGCCGGAGGAGACTCCAGTGACCTGATTTAGCAGCGCCACAAAAAAACCCTCCTCGGCTGCGGCGGCTGCGGCGCCTCCGGGGCTGCTGCCAAGGGCTCGGCCCCTGATCCCCCCCTTTTTGGGGCAGAATCCAAGGGTTTGGGGGGGCTTTGAGGGTGGCACCTGCCAGGCTGGAGGTGCTGTTGGGGTGCAGAGAGCAGGGGGATCTGGGCTAGGTGTGTTTGGAGGGCTGATGGGCTGTGATGAGCTGGGGAGGAGGGGAAGATCGGGACAGTGGGGGGTCCCTGCTGTCGGTGTGCTCCTTCACTGGCTGTTCTGTGTGAAATCATAGGATCATGGGATATCCTGAGCCGGGAGAGACCCCCAAGGACCATCCAGTCCAACCCCTGACCCTGCACAGACACCCCAACAATCCCCCCCTGTCCCTGAGGGCATTGTCCAAACCCTCCTGCAGCTCTGGCAGCCTTGGGGCTGTGCCCACTGCCCTGGGGAGCCTGTTCAGTGCCCAACCACCCTCTGGGGGAAGAACCTATTCCTGATATCCACCCTGACCCTCCCCTGGCACAGCTCCAGCCATTCCCTGGGTGCTGTCCCTGCTCACACAGAGGTGATTGGTGCCTGCCCTTCTACTTCCCCCTGTGAGGAAGCTCCAGACCCTTGAGGTCTCCTCTCACTCTCCCCTTCCCCAGGCTGGATCTGGAGGTGTTTATTCCTGGCTGTCTCTCCCGGTGGGTGAAACCACCCGAGGTCCTGCAGAGCTGCAGATTCAGGGGGTGTTTTCCTGCCCACCCCCTCCTCCCCCCGAGCAGGGCCATGGCAGGGACACACAGAGCCCTCGTTCCATCACGTGTCCCACTGCCCCACATCCCCCAGGGTCACTGGGATTAATGTGACAGCAGCCCCTGCAGTGGGGGGGAGGGATCCATGTGTTCTTTGGCTCTAATCAGGCAGGGGATGGCTGTCTGTGAGGAGACACCCCGAGGTGCCCTGGCCAATCCCCCCCCGCCCCAAGCAGTCTGGCGGCTCTGCCTCCAAGACACCAAGCTATTCTCCTTCTCTCCTTAAAATAATCCCTGTCTGGAGCAGCTGTGGGATGCTGAGGCTCCACAATACCCACCCTGGGCTCTGCACCCACCCTCAGCTCCATCCCTTCACGCCCACAGCTCGGCTGCCACCAAAACCCACCGAAACCTGGATCCCATCCTGCTTCCCCCTCCTGCATCCCCGTCCCCTCGGGCAGGGAAAACACCCCGGTGCTCCTGCCAGCTCGGGTCCTGCTGGAGCATCACCCCCCAAGCAGGAACCGGGGGCCCCTCCCTCAGGCAGCACCCACGGGTGGCTTTTTCCCCCCACCCCCAATCCCATTTATTTTTGGAAGTTGCCTGGTTTTGCCTGGAGAGCCCTTCCCCAGCAGCAGACTTTACACAAATGTCACAGCCCAGGGTGCGTGGGACTAATTATTTCCTCGTGGTTTGTCAGGAGGGGGGTGGGTTGGAGCAGCTTTCCCCCCCGTTTATCTTCCTGGGCTGCTCGTGCCTGCAGCCTGTGGAGTTATCCCAAGGCTCCATCTTCCCTTAACGTGCCTTTTGTTGCCTGCAGCTTCCCAACCTGTTGCAGTAAATTAGGAATAAACGAGTGTTTCTGCAGGAAAGGGGGTGAAGGGCGTGAGGGCAGGGCTGTTATAGGGGGAGCACACCAACCCCAACCCTCTCCCTCCGTGGACTTCAGGCTCAGTGCTGGGATAGGCGCCCAAATTCCCTGCTGCTCCCACTTTGGGAAAGCCTCTGGCGGGTGGGGGATGCCGTGTGGTGGTTTTAGGGTGGATTTGCTGCGCGTGGCTTGTGCTGCTCCGAGGTGGTTGAGCAATAACCACCCTCCCCCTCCCGCTTCCGCTGCCAGAGCCTATTTCTGGTGATGCTGGGGGGGCTCTGAGGACCCCCCACCCAGCTCTGCTCCCGCCTCTGTTTGGGCTGTGAGAAGGGGGAGAAGGGCGTTGTGCTCCCACACAAACCACAGCCTCCCCCTCCCCTCCCGAGGCAATTCCCCCCCCTGCCTCCTCATTAGGGTTTAATTTATTGCTGACTGTTGCCGTGGCTGCTTCTCATGCAGAGGAGCTGGTTTGCCCCTCCCTGGTGCATGGCAGGGATTGGGGAGGGGGGTGTCTGTTTGGACTGGCTGGGCAGGGGAACCCCCCCCCTGTCTCCCCTGGCCTTAAATTCCCTGAGGACTCAAATGCCTTTTCCTCCCTGAAAAGCGGTACCTGATCCTGGGGGGAGATGCTGAATTCGTGCCTTTCCTCCCCTGCCTGGTGAGGACAGACAGATCCCTCCTGCCCGTTCCCCTCAGGGGGCTCCAGGCTTGGAGTCAAAGCTGCCTCCAGCCCTTGGGAGATTCCCTCAGAATCCAACGGGAGCCTCATTCCAGCTTCATCCGTGGTGGTGTCCGTCTCCCCTCCCTCTGCTGGAGCAGGACCCAGCACAGCCTTGCTGTCAGTCCCAATCAGGCCGTTGTTTCCCGGGTTATTTTTATTTTTTTCCCCCCTTCCCAGTTTCCCTGAGCTCCACGGGGCTGGATTCCCGTGTTCCCCAGCCCTGGCAGTGGCTGGGGTTTCCCTCCTCCCCGCAGACAGAGGTTGCTGCCGGGGACTCGTCTCCTCCCAAGCGTTATTAGCATGCCCGGGGCATGGGATGCGGTTGCCATGGCAACGGGATGATTTCTCGGGAGCTCCGGGGCTGGGACCGAGCTCTGTGGGGGGAAACCAACTCACATCCTGCCTTGGCCCTTCCCAGAGGCCGTGTCTGGCTCCGTGGCTTTCCTGGGAGCTCTCGGAATTGGGAACGTCTGGGAAGGCTGGAAGTGGCAGCAGGAAAAACCCTCTGGCTTTGGAAAGACCCCTAAAAGGGGAGAGGCGATGGAGTGTCCTCGCAGCGCTGGGGCAGAGCCCTGCCCCACTTCCCATGGCTGGGCTGGGAATGGCCCCTTCTCCCTGTGCCTTCCCAACCTGCTCTGCACGGGGAGAAGGAGTGACCTGGGAGGGTGTTTTTGGAGAAGGAGTGACCTGGGAGGGTGTTTTTGGAGAAGGAGTGACCTGGGAGGGTGTTTTGGGAGAAGGAGTGACCTGGGAAGGTGTTTTTGGAGAAGGAGTGACCTGGGAGGGTGTTTTTGGAGAAGGAGTGACCTGGGAGGGTGTTTTTGGAGAAGGAGGGACCTGGGAGGGCGTTTCGTGTCTCACAGAGGTCCTGAATGGTTTGGGTTGGAAGGGACCTCAAAGGGACCCAGTTCCACCCCACACACACTCCCTGGGGTTGCCTCCCAGCTGGGATGGTGACAGTGGGACCCTGGGGGTGCCCAGCAGGACAAGGTGTGCAGCGAGCAGGCAGGGGTGTATTTTTGGGGTCCCCTGCAGGGCTGGGAGTAGGAGAAGGACCCGCAGTGAGGAGCTGAGCTGTCTTTTCCCCCTTGTGCAACCACAGCTGAGCTGGGTGGTTTCTGGGTGTGAGGTGGGTTCTCCTCCTGTCTCCAGCGAGGCTGAGGCAGCTATTTTTAATCTCGGGTTTCCTGCGCTGCTGCCTCGCTGAGGTGTGTGCTGCCCTGGCAGGGCCGTGCTGGGGGATCTGCTGCTGTCCTGCCCCACCACAAAGCGAGGATGTTGTGGCTGAAACTTCGGTCAGAGCAGCGACTGAACCCTCCCACGTCCCCCGTGACCCTTCACAGCTGAAACTGTGACCGGAGTCAGCAGCTTTTAAGGGCTGATGGCACCCTGAGGGCTGCTTGGGGAGATGCTGATGGTGTGTTAAGGCCTCTCCAGAAATCAGGCAGGAACAGACATGGAATGGATTTGTCCCTGGGGGAAAAAAAAAAAAAAAAAAGGGCTGCTCTCGCCCCGTTTTGATAAACCTGAAGTTAATGTGTTGAGACTGGGAGAGGACTGAGTGGGAAGGCTGGGGAGGTGTCGGGCACAGGGAGGGGTCCCACAGACTGAAATCCCAGCTGAGAACTCCCCCCATCCCAAATGTCAGCTGCCAAAGCCGTGTGGGGGGGGGAGATGTGTGCCCCCAGCTCTGGCTCCTCCACAGTGGGACTAAAGCACTGGAAGTGCCCCCAAAAAAACCCATAAGGATGTGGCACTTGGGGGTAATGATGATGGGGCTGAGGGTCCTGGGGTGGGAGGGAGAGGGCAGGGAGCAGGGGAACAGCGGGATTAACGATCTGCTTCCCTCCCCAGACACTACCCGAAGCAATCCTTCACCATGGTGGCAGATACCCCCGAGAACCTGCGCCTAAAGCAGCAGAGTGAGCTCCAGAGCCAGGTGAGCATTTCAGACCTCCAGACCTTCATACTCTGTGGAAAGAAAAAAAAAAACAACCCACAGTCTTTTTCCATTATGTTTTTGTCTGGTAGTTCCATGTTTTGGAAGCTCTGGCCTTTAGGAGGTTCCTGACTTGATGTCCCCGCTCACTCACCCAGTGGCAACGTTGTTATTTGTCCCTTCTCTTTGCACCTTTGGAGTGCTGATTTCCTGCTCCCTCCCGCTGGAGCTGCATCATTTTCCATTCCAGGATAATAATTCACCAGCACAGCAGGACAGCGAGGTTGACTCTGTTCTGCAGTGGCCTTAACCCAGACCTTGGGATTGTGACCTGAGCTTGAGAGAGGGATTGAATATTTAGCAGAGGTGGGAATGTGCCTCTGCCAGTCCTTTTCCAGGTGCCAGGCAGCCAGCTGAGGTGGCAGATCCTCCCCCTGGACAGGTGTTGACTCTCGGGGAGGTATTTCAGGTAAACCCAAACCTCGTAGGGCCTGAAAGCTCTGGCAGGCAGGAATAAACAGATGGAGGGATAAGGACTGGCACAGATAAGGGTTTCTCTCCCTGGTGGGAAGAGCAGAGCCTGCTGCAGAGGGTGTTGTCCAGACCTGTCCCGTTTTATCCCCTGGAGGTGTCCCTGGCTCAGCAGAGTCCCCAGCCCCGAGCAGGGTGTGGGCTGGGAACTCCCAGTGACGTGCTGGGGACTGTCCTTGGGTGGGCCACCCAGTGATCCCGGGTTTCCTTCTGCTCCAGAGCACTGAGAGCAGGAATGGGAGCATCAGTTTTGTGGGAAAAGCTGCTGGGAGGGCAGGGTTGGGGCTGGAATGGGCCTTTGGGTGGGTCAGGGCAGCAGAGCTGGGGAAGGGGCTGGAGCAGCAGGGATGAGGGAGCAGGGGGGGGCTCAGCCTGGAGAAAAGGAGGCTCAGGGGGGACCTTCTCACCTGGGCTTTGGTAAGGGCTCTTCCTCACAGGGAGTTCCCAACAGCTCAGGCTGAGCCAGCCTGGGGCTGGATCTGTGTCCATGGAGGTGACAGGGACAAGGGGATACGATTTCCATGGTAACCACCGGGATGCTGCTGCACCCAGGAGGCTTCCTGACTTGTTGGTTGTTAAAGGGGACCCAGGGGAGGGACTGTGCTGTGCCTGGGCTCTCCTGAGCCTGGGTGGGACTTCCAGCTCCTCGGGAGGTGGCTGGGACCAGCCTTGCACCCTGCACCTCCAGTTGGTCAGCACAGCCCAAACCCCCACAGCACCCCTGTCCCTGGGACAGGAGCAGCCATGCCCAGCCCCCAGGGATCTCCTGGGCTTTGGGGGATGGAGCTGGGATAGCACAGGGCTGGAAGAGCCCTCTGCACCCTTGGCTACACGTCAGCAGAGGGGCTGGGGGGCGGGCAGGGCCTGCCAGGCAGCAGCACCCACCTTTTCAGAGCTGGATTCGCACCAGGGTGAGCTGCAAGGTGGGATTTCTGCGAGTGGAGAGGGGGTGCTGCACCTTTGGGTGCTGGCAGAGCCCCTGCAGAAGGGCTGGGGAGGGACAGAGGAAAGGGGGGATGCGGGAGGCAGGTAGGTGGCAAAGCTGAACCAGGTGGAAGCTGCCAGGCTGGATCACCCAGAGCCCCGGGGGGGAGGACAGATCCTAAACACACTCCAGATAAGATCTTAACTCCTCTCTGCCTTTGTTCTGCCTACAAAGGGAGTCTCCCATTTTCCAAGCTCCAAGCATTTGTGTTTCTTGGAGCGTTCCAGCTGGAACCCCAGCAGCTGCCCTGGTTTATTGACAATCCCCTGCACTAATTGCAGGAGCTGAGCAGAGCCCTGGGGATGGAATGGGTCACTCCAGCCCTGCCAGGGCAGGCAGAGGTTTCAGAGTCCTGCAAATGAACTGGATGAACTGGGGCTGTTGGCTGAGACAGGGAAAGGCCTGTGGAAAAGGCTGGCTGGCTCTGCTGGCAGCCTGGCAGGAGCCTCCTGTGCCACTTCGCCACTTCAAGTGCCATCCAGAAAAAAGCTCTGCCGGCACAGGCAGGGCTAAAATTCCCCGTGGAGCAGGATCAGGGCTGTGTGAACTGTCACATCTTGCCTTCAGGCTTGTGTTTGTCAGCCAAGCCCAGCCATGGCCAAGCTATTGGTCCTGTGTCCCTCTGGAGGATCCCTGGCTGGGCTTCCCTGCAGTGGGAAAAAGGGAGTTTGCTGGGTCTGTGTCCTCTGCCAGGGGTTTCCAGCTGGGGGAGGGCAGTGAGAGTGATGCTCCCCAGCAGCTTTTCCCAGTGGGGCTGGAGAGTCAGGCTTCCCACGGATGACCCCAAGGGGGTTGATCCTATATTTCCTGCACCAGAAATACCCCACAGCTCTGCCCTGGGGGTGACTGGGAAAGGGGCTGGATCATGGAACCATCACTGGGGGGCTGTGGGGGGCACCTACAGGGGTGGGGTGACAGGAACAGGGTGCTGGGCACCTACAGGGGTGAGGTGACAGGAACAGGGTGCTGGGCACTGCAGGGCCAGGATATCAGGGATGGGGTGACAGGGCTGGGCACTGCAGGGGCAGGGTGACAGGCCCAGGGTGCCCAGGGTGGGGTGCAGGGCCCTGCAGGGCTGTCAGGCTGCCAGGACACCCCCGTGTGTTCCCGCCTCTCCGCTATATTTGTGCCCCAGCCGGGGGGAGGCGTCTCCCGTTCCGGTCACTGGAAGCTGCCGGATAATTTGTGGATAAATGTGTCCCCAAAGCGACAGCTCTGGTGCCCGCAGGCCGCTCCCACAGCCCACGTGTGGCGGGGAAATTGCAGGTTCCCCAGCCCCGCCGCTCCTTTTCCGAGCCTTTCCACGGGTGGGTTTGGGCACAGCCCTTCCTGCCCGTGGGTGGGTGGGTGGGTGGGCAGCAGGTGCCTGGATCCCTGCTGTGCCAGCAGCACCCCTGGGAGCTCCCCTGCCACCTCGGTGCGGGTGACAGCGAGGACGTGGCTGAGCTGGAGGGCTGTGGCGTGTGAAGGGCTGTCCTTGGGATGCACACATGGATGCACATGTCATCACTCCCTTCCCAGCGCAGAGAGGGAACAGCTCCTCTGGGAAAAATCCGCTGTGGATGCCATTTTATTACTGTTTTTATGTGGTTATGCAGCCGGGCATCCCCGTCCTGCAGATTTTTAGGGTTAAATTCCTGCATCCTGAAAACAGAGCGGGGTGGGATTTAGGAGGGTGGTATAAAACACAGAAGTGATCAGGGGAACTGCCTGGCAGCAGGATTGGCTTCTTGCTCGGTGGTTCCTTATCTTTCCAGCCTGGATCTCTTCCAGCTCATCAGCTGTGTGTGTGCAGGGGGTGGCTGTGGGATAAACCCCCTCCTGGAGGGAGCAGCAGCTCCAGGCAGGCTGGTGGGGCAGCATCCCACGTTCCACAGGGGAACAGCCCTTTTTGGGAAGCAGGAGACAAGCACAGCCCCTGTCCCTGGGCAAACTGGGGCTGGTGGTTCCAGAGCAGCTGCAGGGCTTGACTCACCCCCTCCTGACCCTGCCCCGGTGTGTCACAGGTTTTGTGTCACTGGGTTTTGTGCCACAGCTCGGGTTAACCTTTAGTTGCTGATTGTTCAAACCTCCGGGCTGCTCTTTATTCCCCCCGGGGGAAATTCGAGTTGTCCTTTACCCCAGACAGATCAGAGATTTTGTTCTTTCGGGCTCTGCGGGGCCCATTGAGCTGTGGGGTCATTGAGCTTTTTGCTTTCTAACGACCAATTGGAGTCAGAAATCCAGGATGACTCAGCTCATCCCGTCTCTCCAGGGGGTTCTGTGGCCCCTGGTGGCTGTGGGGAAGGAGCAGGGGCTGTGAGATGCTCCCACAGCCTCGTTTCTCCTGGTTTGCGGGGCAGGAAGAGGGAACGTTGTGTTGGAAGGTTCTGGGGTGTGTCTGTACCACTAACCCATGCCCAGCTCCTGTGTGCCCATGGAGTCTGGAGTCCCCCCCTGCTCCAGGCAAAATCCAGACAGTGGGTGCTGTGCCCTCCCAAGGTCCTGGCAGGGCCGGGTGGGATTTGGGCCAGTCTGAGCCTGCAGCTTCTCTGCCACACAGAGACCACAGTGTCTCATTTTTCCCTGGCAGTCTCGTGTTTCCTGTGTCCCTCTGGATCAGAGAGGGGGGCAGGACCTGCTCCATGCTCTGCCCTGGGCACTCCAGGGCTTGGATCCTGCCTGTCCCGCTCCGGGAGAGCCCAGCCAGCCACGAGGGTGTGTCTTGGCTCCTCCGAACGCCATAAAATCCTTGGCAGCCTCTCCTGAAAGGTGTTTCCGGGCCCAGCTGGGCTGGGAGGCAGAGCTGGGAGGTCTGGAGGGGTTGGGAGTGTGTGAGGTCCCCCTGTCTGTGTGCTCGGTCCCGCCGCGCTTCCAGCTCTGCCTCCCGGATTTATCTTGGGAGCAGTGTGGGGTCTGCAGAGCCCTTCCCTGTGGAGCCAGCCCAGCTCCAGGAGGGCTGGGCATCGCTGTGTGTCCGTGCTGGTGGCACCAGGGCTTGGGGGGGGGGGAGGGAGGTTGATCCGGTGACCTTTTCACTGCGGTGACAACAAAAATCCTGCAGAGCTCGGGGCGAGCTCCAGGGAGGTGAATCCCTGGTGAATCCCTGGGAAACAGGGCTCTGCATGCAGCCCCTGGCAGGAGGGAGGATGGAGGAGGCTCAGGGTGTCTCTCTGCACGTCTGCTCTCCCCTGCTGTGGCAGTGGGGTGGTTTTGTGTCTGCTGGGCCCTGTTTCCTTCCCCCTTGGAGCTGTTCACGGCCGTGGCTGGGTTTCAGCCTCTGCAGGAGCTGCTTCTGCTTCTGGGTGACCTGGTAGGAGCAGAGCCCTGCAGCAGCTCCTGGGGCCAAGGGCTGGGCAGCACATCTGGGCTGGGCAGCACATCTGGGCCGGGGCTCTCTGCATCGGCTCCAGCCTTAAAACTGTACAAAAAAGGAAAAAAAAAAACAAAAACCATGACTTTTGAGCTCCTGGCTGTGCTGGTGAGGGGCTGTCGGTGGGTCCAGCTGCTGGATCCAGCTGCGCTCTCCTCCCCTGCCCTCTGTTTGAATGTGGGTTTCAATCCTTTGTCCCCAGATTCGCTACAAGGAGGAGTTTGAGAAGAACAAGGGCAAAGGCTTCAGCGTGGTGGCCGACACCCCGGAGCTGCAGAGGATCAAAAAGACTCAGGATCAGATCAGCAACGTGAGTGGCTCCCCAGCCCTGCTGTGACATTGCCGTGACCTCCCCAGGGCCAGGGGGGGCTGGGAGGGCTGGGGGGGCTGCTCTGCTGTGCAGCCAGGGGGGCACCACGCTGTGACAGCTGCTGGTGGACAGGCTGGAAGCCTGGCAGCTTTAGATCTCCAGTCCCTTCTCCTGGGCGTCCTGAGACCCTCCTGCACCTCTCCCTGCTCCTCTGAGCTGCTGGATCCTGCAGCTGGATCCAGAGGGGGTATCCCAGGTGCTCTGAATGTGAGGAGCAGGAAGGGAGCAGCATTTTGGGGGGGGGGGGGAAAGGGCAAACATGGCCTGAGGGCAGTTCCATCCACCCTTGGGTGCCACCAGAACCCACAGCGTGGGCAGCACTTGGGATCCTGGGACGCCCCGAGCTGGGAGAAGCCCACAGGGATCATCAGCTCCCTGCACAGGACCCTGAGGGGCTCTGTCCCTCTCCTGCTCCCTCTGGCCTGTGTGTGTGTGTGGATGTCGGTGGATGCCGGAGCGTTGCCATGGTGACGGGGAGGATGCTCAGGCGCACGTAAACAGGAGGATGCACTGGAGGATGCACGTCCTGCTGCGGCACAGGGAGCGGGGTGTGGCTGTCCCTGCCCCAAATCTCCCTGGGCTCCCTCCTGGGCTCCCCCCAGCAGAGCTCAGGGAGCCCACTGAGCTTCTGGCTGCTGGTGGAAGTCAGGCAGGAAGGGAAGGGAAAGGGCTGGATTCTCCCTGCCCACTCAGTCCTTTCCAGGAGAAACCTCTTTGAGGGGGGGTCCACGAGCTGGTGGTGTCTGTGAGCTCCTCTCCTGCCCTTGACTCGGCACCCTGTGCTGCTCTGGCTTTTCCATCCGTGACAATCCCTGCCCTGGGGACAAAATCCCTCCGTGGGAGCTGCTGGGATGGCCTGGGAAGAGGTCTGAGCTCCCTGGAATGCAGGGAGAGGGAGGAGGGTACCTGTGCCCTGGTGGGTTGTTTAATGCCCACACACACACACACACACACACACCCCCAAAAAGCCCCAGCAGGGCAGGAGGGGGATGTTTATTCCCTCTTTTTCTGCTCCCAGCTCCCAGTTCCCAGGCAAACACTGGCCTGTCCGCAGGGAATTGTGGGCTGTTACTCACCCACCAAACCCCAGGCTGGGGAAGGGGCCTGGCTGGAAGGTTTTCCCTGGGGCAGCTCCTCGGTGGCTTCTGAGGTGGCAGGAGCCGAGCTCGGCTTCCCTACCACAGGAGGGGCTGGGGGGCTGTGTTTGGGCAGAGCGTGGGGAGGTTTGGGGGCACCAAATCGCCCAGCAGAGAGCTGGGCCCAGCCCTGCTCCCTCTGCTCAGCCCCCTCACCCTCTCCCAGCCACGGGGAACAGTTTCCAGCAGCTTCCCCGGTGTCTCTGCCAGCCAGGGCTGGCCATGACCCACTTACTGAAGACACAGAGACAAACCCTGTCCCTGCAGAGAGCCCGTCTGAGCCTCAGCCCTGCCCTGCCAGGGGTGCAGCTGGGCAGGAACAGGGGCAGGAAGGGGGATCATTAAGGCTGGGAAAACCCTCAAAGCTCACGGAGCACAATCATTAACCAGCACTGCCATGTCACCGCTAAACCGTGTCCCCAAGTGCCACATCCGCCTGCTTTCAACACTTCCAGCGCTGGTGACTCCTGTTCCAGTGCCTGACCACCCTTCCCATGGAGAAATTTCCCCCTGATATCTGATCTAAACCCCCCGTGGCCCAGCCTGAGGCCGTTTGCTCTCATCCCACTGCTTGTTTGGAGGGAGAATCAAGGAGCTGCTGCCAGGGAGAGCCCTGACTCCCCTCCCTCCCCTCCTGCCACCTCCTGCAGATCAAATACCACGAAGAGTTCGAGCGCAGCAGGATGGGCCCGAGCCCCAGCGAGGGCTCGGAGCCGGAGCGCAGGAATTCCCAGGAGAGCTCCGCTTACCGGAGACCCGCCGAGCAGCAGCACCAGCAGCCGTCCCACCACGTCCAGCCCACCAACCCAGGTGAGGCACAGGCAGCCAGGGCTCTGTGAGGGGCTTGGCTGTGCCCCCCAACCCCCCCACATCCCAATGCTGGGTCCGTCCTTCCCTCCACAGGGTACCAGCAGCAGCCGCTGCCATCCCAACCCTACGGATACAAGGAGCCAGCGGCACCGGCGTCCACGCAGCGCAACGCCCCGTCTGCAGGGGGGGTGAGTACAGCCCACAGCAACCCCCCAGCACAGCCCCCCCAGCACAGCCCCCCCAGCACAGCCCCCTGCTTCCCACCCCGGGGGGGACACAGCCAGGCTCTGCTTAAACACCTCTGGGGATTGGTGACCCCACCACCTCCCTGGGCAGCCCGTTCCAGTGCCCAGTGTCCCATTCCAGTGCCCAGTGTCCCATTCCCATGCCCAGTGTCCCATTCCAATGCCCAGTGTCCCCTTCCAAAGCCCCAGCCACTCTCTCTGTGAAGAACTTCTTCCCAATATCCAGCCTAAACCTCCGCTGGTGCAGCTTAAAATCCTCTTGTCCTACTTGCTGGTTCCCTGGGAGCAGAGCCCGACCCTTCCCAGCTCTCCCCTCCTGTCAGGGAGTTGTGGAGAGTGTGAAGGTCCCCCCCTGATCCTCATCCTCTCCAGGCTGAGCCCCCCCCACCTGCTCCTCACAGGATTTGTGCTCCAGACCCTTCTCTGGACCTGCTCCAGCCCCTCAATGTCCTTCCCAAACTGAGGGTCCTTTGGCCTTCTTGGCCACCCTGGCTCATTTCCAGCTGCTGTCACCAGCACCCCCACTCTGGTCCCTTTCTCTCCCCCCACTCTGTCCCCTGCAGGGGGGCTGTTGTGGCCCAGGTGCAGGCCCTGGCACTTGGCCTTGCTGAACCTCCCAGAGCTCTGCCTGCCGCCCACTCCCGCTCCATGGTGGGGGAGCGCTTTGGACAGGGCCTGGCGCTTGGGTCTGCTCCAGCATTCTGGGATGGGGATGGGGCACTCCCCCAGTCTGCCACCGGCCCCCTCCGTGTCCCCACAGAAGCGTTTCCGCGCCGTCTACGACTACAACGCGGCGGACGAGGACGAGGTGTCCTTCCAGGACGGCGACACCATCATCAACGTGCAGCAGATCGACGACGGGTGGATGTACGGCACCGTGGAGCGCACGGGGGACACGGGCATGCTCCCGGCCAACTACGTGGAGGCCATCTGAGCCCGTGGGGAGGGGGTCCAGCCCAGCCCCCAGCCCGGGGCTGTCCCCCCCTCTCTCTCTCTCTCTCTGTGTGTGTGTGTGGTGTGTGTGGTGTGTGTGTGTGTGTGAGTCCCTCTGCCCCAGCGTTCCCTCTCCGCGTGCTCCGGTGCCTCCGGACATCCCGGCTCCCGTGTCTGTGTCCGGCTCCTCCCGCCCGTTCGGCTCCGCTGTAGAGGGATTCCTTCTCCTCTCTCGAGGAGGGACTGTGTGCAGGGGTGGCACGGGGGGCCACAGCTCCTCTGCTCCCTGGGGCTTCCTCCTCTCCAGCTCCCCCGGGCGCTCCGGCCTTTCCTGGCCAGGGGGAGCAGCCGGAGTTGCCGGGATCCCGGAAAAGAGAGGGGGACAACGTGTTAGGACCAAATTCCCCCCGTCCTGGCAGGGCTGGGCAGAGGTGCCCATGTGGGTGAGCTGAGGGTGCCCTGGGCTGCAGGGATGGGCTGGAAGTTCTCCACCTGCTCCGCCCCGGCTCCAGCCCATCCCGTTGCTCCTCCCGGCCCCTCCGCACAGTTCCCGTTCAGTCTTTGCTCCCTTCAGACCTCAAAGCAGGAAAACATTTGCAGTTAAAATCTCAAAGTCTTTGTCCTGGGGATCCCAGGATGCTCTGGGCAGCCCTGGAGGTGGCTCTGGATGTTCCTGCCTGCGGCTGCCCCGTTCCATCTTCCCGCTCCCCCCGGGCCGAGCTGGGCGAAGGAGCAGCCGTGGGGTTGCTGTGGCTCCAGGGCTGGAGCTGGGCTGAGCCCCCCCTGCAGCTCCTGCTCCCCCTGACCAGGCTCCCCTGGAACCCCTTTCCTCGCAGCACTGGCTGATTCACCCAGAATCTTCCTGCTTTTCTCTTGCTGCTGCTGCTGCTGCTGCCACTGGGTTTTTGGGACCCTCCTGAGCCCTCCACGTGCCAGGAGATTGGTGTGGGGAGCCAGCAGGATCAGCCCCCATCCCTGTGCCTCCCCTGAGCTGGGTGTGAAGGATCCTCCCCCTCTGGGACCCACCTGGGTGAGTGTCCCCCTGCAGCACCCCGAGCCACCCTGCACCTCATTCCCAGCAACAGTGGCAGCTTTTGGGGCCACCACTGGCTTGGAACCGTGTCATGGACCAAAATCTCAACCCTTTCCCCTCCTCCTCTGGGCTCCCGAGGTCCTGGAGCAGGTCAGGGTTGGTCTAACTGGAAGCCTGTGTGAGGAGGGAGGGGTGGGATGCTCCTCTCCCGCCTCACAGCAGCAGGATGAGGGGACAGTGGTGTCCCCTTGTCCACCTTTGCTATTCCCGAAGGAAAAGAGGGAATAGGGGGACCAAAGCGGCCAAGCTGAGACATTCCCTGCTCCTGTCTGGGGGCACATCCCCGGGGACACGGCCCTGCCTCCTGCTTGCAGTGCCCTTCCCCAGAGCACGGGGGTGCAGGGCTGGCTCAGGGATGGTGTTGGGATAACTGGGATGACTGGGGTGACTGGGATCAGGGAGCAAGGAGGGGGTCCCTGGCCGGGCAGAGACCCCCTGGGAGGGCCTGAGCCAGGGAAAAGGGAAGTGTTGTGCTCCTGGCTCCTTCCCCAGCCGGCTGCAGTGGGATGGGGGGGAGGGCCAGGGATTTTTGGGCCCCCGGGAGGAGCTGTCCGGGATTTTGGTGCTAAAACAAGCGAGCACAAGAGCAGGGAGGGGGCGGCCGGGCAGGGGGGACCCACATCCCCCCGCCAATCCTCTTCTTGATCACCTTCTTGTCTGGGAATGGGGGGGGGGAGGGGGGAGTATCAATGTGAATAAACTGTTTTTTAATGGACCAAATAACACAGGCAATTCCATTTTGGGATAGAGACCTTTTTTTAATGCTACCTTGAGACCATTGTCCCGAGTCCTCCCCCTTGCCCTGCCCTTCCCCTCCTCCCCTGCCGTGGGAAACAAACCTCTTACTGCTTCATTTCTGCCTTTTCTCTCAACTTATGCACTTTTTTGCCTTTTTTTCATAGCCGAAAAGCACCTAAACCTGTATTTAAAAATAAATGAATAAATAAAATAGTACCAAAAAAAAAAAAAAAAAAAAAAAAAAAAAAAAAAAAAAAAAAAAAAAAAAAAAAAAAAAAAAAAAAAAAAAAAA